AGTCAAAATGAAAGACAATGCTCCCGCGTTGTATGCACTGTTTTTCATCGTAGATCGCTTTACCTTGCGTTTGCCGGATATGGTTGTGAAGTACCCAACTTCCAACCGTCACTTGGATGACTTTTAGGAAAGTCTCAGGTTCCAAAGTTTTTTTTCACAAGGTCGCCGGACTCCCATGTTGCAAGCACAATCTCTTCATCCTCCGGGATATCAAGTTCCTGGAGTGTAAGAAACTGGCCTTTTGGGCAGTGATCACAGTCTCCTTGAAGGCACAGTTCTGTTGCTGGGTCGCACAGAAATGCCGAGTTCATTTCACCAGTGTTGAATGTTGAGCCTGTAACGTTCTCTAGAGCGGCAATACAAAGATAATAATTGGCGCAGCGCACACAAACGCACACTTCCTGGTGTGGAATACATTGGACCCATCTAGGGCGCAACGAATAAAATTTCGTTAGCCCAACGCCGGAATCGGGATGCTTGTCTTTGTATATACGGAAGGCCTCTCGTATTGAGCGTGTCATGAAGCGCTTTGGCACGAACGTTTCCTCTCCGTTGAGCATGACAGAGATGACGTCCTTCTGGTTGGGACTTTGGCGCGAACATTGTAGCTCGTCTTTCGTAAAGTACTCTAGGGCAGCAGACAGGTTCTCAGGGCTCACCTTGCACCTCGTGTAAGGATCCGGCTCATACCACACGCCATGATTTTCCTTGAGTTTTCTGGATTTACGGATGAGGTACATTGAGGCCTGTGGAATCATCTTTTGAACCTCATTCTTCGTCAGTGTTGACGGCAGGAGTGTAAGCAGTTGACAACGTTCCCGGAGAGAGGTGGCGGTTTCAAAGGCCTGCCGAAAGTTGTCCACCCACTCAGTGCATGTGGAGCATGTTGGTTCGGACGACCCCGATGGTGCGTCCCTGTCGTACGCAATACGTAGCCTTGAGCGTATATTCTTGACAGCAACCTGCTCCAGTTCTGTCTGCTTTCTCTTGACATAGGCAGGCCTGTCCCAACTTCTTACGACGCTTGGTTGTCTCAGCGGCGACACATCTGTAGGTAGTATGCTGCGATTTAGATCTTCAATTGCTTCTTCAGCTGGCACAAATATGTCAGGGCACTGCGAATTCGCTTCAACGAGTTTAGGTCCAACTCGCCAACACTTCGAAAATTCCGCTGCTTTGGTATAGTCTTTTTGTGTTTGCAAAAGTAATCTGCACAAAACACTCGTTCGGAGCTCCAGGACGTCTTCATAATGTATACATAAATAATATAAATTAAACCCAAACTGGTGGCATATAATTGCCAAGTGAAGGAACTACTGGGTGCACAAGTGACAAGTCCGAGGCTGAGGAGCTCACTCACTGCAAACGTACATTTGAAAAGAGAGGTCACAACTGAGGCTGTCGGCAAAGCTTGATCCACGTCAAAGGAAGAAAGAGGGAAAGTCTCCAGACAAAAAATTGTGGTCAGCGGCCTTCAAAAAAGACGTTCCGGAATCGCAGTGTCGTCCCTCCACGCGCTGATATGAAAGCACCCGAGCTTCTACCACGTGGTTCATGACACAGCCTGAGCCATGTCGGCGACCGGTTCGCGAGGGGTTGGCGGTGGGGTTACGTTGATGGTCACTCGGATTAGCCCTTGCTGTACTGAGCTACCGCCTGCAGTGCCTTATCGCCGGCTGGTGTCAACAACGAGAACACACAACCCTGTCTACACCAAAACTACAAGCGTTCACCGCACACGCGTCGCCGCCGCTTTTAAGCTTTTGTGAAATTGCTTTCTTTTGCCGCGGAGAACCGCCTTATCTTAACTGCGCGCCTGAAATCCTTCCAGGCGGGCGTACACAATATCAAGCGTTTCGAGAAATGCCCGTGGAGTAGAACTATGGGAAAATTCGGAGCCCGCGATGTCGATATCGTCGCCGTTGTGTTAGTACGCCGTCGCGTACTGCAGTCCCCCGTTGGGGGAGGGGGGGGGGGGGCGGTCTTACTACGATAACATGGCCACAGCGTTTACACTCTATGTATTTACGCGAGGCTCGAGTATTTGGGGATAATGCTGCCGGTTGGTGTGCCCCTTTGTGCCTGATATTATCGCCCGTGACGCCAGCGAGTGAGATGGCGACAGGCGTGACTGCTCAGTAAACAGGCGTCGGCGGCCATGTTTTGCTGGTTGAAGCGAACCCCCTTGTCCTTGACAGCGAGCGGGAAAATGCGAAAAAAAGATTGTATCGGCCGTTTTGCCAGAACTAGCGACGAGTGTCGTCTGCGGTTTCCGGCAACTATTTTGCCATAATCGTGAGCTTAGCGAGGAAATGATTTTTGCTAGCCACAGAACACTACCACGCAGAAAGGGAATGCTTGAACATGTTTTTGTTCTGGATATATATATCAGGGATATATATGAGAGAGAGAGAGAGAGAGAGATGAAGGTAGAGCGGAAGAGGGAATAGCATATAGTGTCGCAGGAGAATAAAGTAAACAAAGTTCCTAGTGGCCGATGGCTGCATGATCTTTTCTCGGATCACTAGTCCGTAATATGATACCTCTTTGTACACAGTAGTTTCTCCTTAATTTAAGTGTGTGAACGATTTCTTTAGTTATCATTGGCCTCATCTGAATAAAAATATATAAAAGATGTGTGTTGGTTTCATGAAACTGGAACTCCGAGTCAGTTCTTGTAAAAACACTGCTAAGTGTAGGCTTTGAAAAAGGACCCTACTTTGGGGAGTTGTATCTTCTTTCTCAATAAAATGATGCAACATGTTTTTAATGGAAATGATTGCCGAAATAGAGTATAACAGGTTACCTAAATTTAAAAAAATCGAGGGTGGTGTTTTTTTTTTATTCGCATCGGAAGTTTTCTTTGTTTGATTTTTTCTCCATGTTTGACTAAATATATCCTAACTATTGTATCACACAGATACCTTAGTTATTTTTAAATATTAGCTATATATTAGTAGAATAATATCTGCAAATTATATCATAATGATTAAATTATTTCATGAGATACAGACCTCCAAAGTTTGCCATTTGTCGTTCGAGCAGGCATGTTTGTCAATTTTTAGAAAAATAAATAAATTTTAAATAAATATGATTACTTTATATTACAAGCAAGCTATACCCATAGTTTGCGCCTAAAACGTATTAGAGTTCTCCTAATGTTATCGCTTTAGTTATTCACTCTCAAACGGGCCCCCTCCATCAGTGCGCGTTAATGCAACTGTCCACCACCTCATGCCTTACGATTTTTCCTGTCCCCAAGTATTTTTTCTAGTCAAAACTAAGTTTAGATTCGTTCATACCAGACACTAGACAATAACATATAAAAACATCAGTTGATTTGAAAATGTCGACTAGCCATCCTTTGGTCGATCTTATCTGAAATCACCCCATGGGCGTACCAACCCCCCCCCCCCCCCCCCCCCCCCCCCCCACCTCAATTCTCAGAGTGGGGGGGAAAGGCACGTGTCTTGTCCCCCGTAACCAGCCGCCACTGGGCAGGACAAACACTGGCCGGCGGCGCCCAAGCGAAACCAAGGGCACCGCCCACCGGTTCTGGTTGCAGGCACGTAGCCAGGATTTTGTTTCGGGGGGGGGGGGGGGGGGGGGGGGGGGGCCGCCGCCCCATGACAAAATGCTGTATGAGTGGGAGGGGGGAGAGGAGGCTCCAGCAAAATGGGAAGCTTTCGGGGGGAGCCCGGCACCCATGGGCCTCCCCCCTGGCTACGTGCCTGTCTGGTTGGGTATGGTTTGCACCTCCATTCAAAAACAAGTTGGTACGCCACTGAGTACAGTACAGTAGCGCTCCAGCTGGCGGATAACTTTCCGACCTGTGCGATGACGACTATATTTTTGTGTGCTCTTAAGATTGGCTTTTTGTTAAGTTATTTTATCAAAAAGTGCATGTTTCAAGTCCAAGAAAGATTACTTTTTTCTCGCTGACGGCCAAATCATATAAAAGCTGTATATTCCGCCTAGTGATGAACTATGCCCAAGACTTATGGTCATACTGCTACTATTTATACCCTATAGCTGCTGGCCCGTTTCGTTTCACTGCAGCTCCGTATCGTTGAGCACGTTGATCAATGTGCATATATATGTACCTGATTGGGTTAATTTATTTATCTATAAAATTTGTATTCTGAATACGAATGCTTGATTTATTTTATGGTGTTCTTGTGTTCATTTTGATGTCTGGTGAACTCTGGTGACATTTCAATCAGAGTCTGGTATCGCGACCACTTTTTGATCTGGCGGCGCTGTGCTGACCTTGGGTAGTGAATATAATTTTCTCATGATTTGTGGGCGCCTATTTCAGTATACTATTACAGCTCTACGGTTTGCAGAATTTTCTTCGCTTCGGATGGTACCAATATATGCAACTGCTTGGGTGCAACTCTCATAAAGACTAATGGTCGGACTTTAGCGATCAGATCAGTCAGTAACTGAGAAGCTCAGATCGAGTGCTAGACTGCACTTTAAGGGCTACGTAGATGAGAAAAAAAAATCATTCGCTTTTTGATAATCCAGCAAACCAAACTTATGTGACATGCCGTCATCGTTTCGCTCGCTACGCTTCTTTTTTTTTTCTCTCGCTATTTCAAAATTTACGCATTTTTTTAATTTTTCGAACATTCTCAGGACTTTCAAAGAAACTTCAACATAAAATAAATGAAACACACAAAAAAAAACTAGCTAACTAACTTGCTTGAATGTTGAAAGACAGCCAAAAAAAAAAATAAAACTAAAAAGAGTTTTTTTTTCTTTTTGTTTTTTTTTTGCTTATCGTAATATCTTGAACTCTATCTTGAGTTAATTTTTTTTTCTTTTTAGCGTCAATGACTTTAGCTGCGTAGCATATATTCGGGCCCCTTAACTCGTCTTTATAAATGCAATGTAGATACAACAGCTCGAGAACCGCATTCAGTGTTCCTTTCTGACGACTATCGGCGCTGCTACTCGTTTCACGACAAACACACGTATTTTTGGCGTATATATACCTGCTTCCAAGTGTCCGTGTTGGCCGGATCGAAGTGACACAGGTTTTGGGTGAACCACAGCTCCTGCGGTTCCTTGCTGGCAAATAGCAACTGGGACTTGGGCAGCCCCAGCATGCCGTAGCGTCCCCTGGGCCTACCGCGATGCATCAAGGACGTTCCATCCACGGTCTGGCTGGCTAGGCTTAACGCCACGACTGCGACCACCAGCAACATCTTGATTCTGACCACGACGACGGCTGGTCTGGGCGAATCGCTTTCGCTGGCCGACGTTGCCCGATCGTCCCGTGTTCCCTTTTATCGAGGAGTTTATTTAGTTCTTTTTTTCTCTTCTGGTCACTCTTGTCGCGTTGGGACAAGATAGTTGGCACGGAAGCCGCTGATTAGGAGTCGGGTCTGTCGCGGTCTCTCGGACGATGGGACGACGCTATATATCGGCGTCTATCAGCTCATGTGACCGAGCACCCTCCTGGAATGAAGATCGCCATTGTTTCAAAATCGCCCCCCCCCCCCCCCTTTTCCAAAAAAAAAAAAAAAAATTGTCGGGGCAGATTATTTTGCCACTTCTGATAACTCATCTGATTACTGATAACACTCTTTGAACATGATTGAGGTGTGTCCGCAGGTATTTCTGTTCATAATGTCTGCACCGCAACGAACGAACACCTTGTATTTTCTACGATGTACGAGATGAGGTACTGTGGCTTTAAGCCGGGGTCTCACTTCTTATACACCGTACAAAAGACAGTCCGCATACAGATTCGAACGCGAGTCCCCGCGAGATCTGTGCTCAAGGCACCTAGCATTGAAGCCTACCCACTATTTCTTCCATCACAGCCAATCAGATCTCGGCGTCGTTCTGACGTCACCGCAGCTCCTGCCCAAGAAGCAGACGACTCGCTCTCCGCTTTGGATGACGCTTATATGTATCGTGAGCTTCGAGCGTGCACGCGCAGCCGAAGCACGGAGGAAGGCAACGAACGCTTGCTGGGGGTCGCGTTTTATACTCACGCGCAAGGTTTGTGTCGTTTGAGCTTTTGCTGCTTTAAAAAAACGTACTGCTGCGGACCTCGCTTTCTCAAAATATTTAACCGACATAGCATTCTGGCCCTGATATTGTTCCGCGAGAGACAGACAAAATCACACGTATTGACGTTCCTTTCTGTTACTCTATATGTTTCGTGCTTTTGTTCTAACCGACAAGCATACGCAAGCGTATCCTTGTCGGTTAGGAATAATATATGGGCGATTTCATCTCAAATCGTGCGAGAAATAAATCCCTAGATAGGTATGAAAAACAAAGTTGTGACCAGAACAAAACTGCAAATTAACTACGGAACTTTGTTGTTGTTGTTCTGGAATTTTAGGTTTGGAAGGGACAAAAGGCAGGTATAGCGATTTTTGCAGTTTTTTCGAGTGAACATTTTGGAGGCCCGCAACGTTTAGATTCTTTTTTTGCAACAATTATAACTTGTTTTTCTGCTTTACGACCGTATAGAACGGTTAAAATGCTCTAAAATGTGTTTTTTCTTTCAATATTATTTTCTGAGAGACTGGTTTCTACTGATGGGAGAGGACTTCACATTGGCATCACATTGAATTGAGACGACGCTTTTTGTCTTTTTCTTGCTGTCCCTTGCACTTTTGGTTCTCCTAAATTTTCTAACCAGTCTCAGGTGGTTAAAAAAATGGTAATCTACCCCAGTTCGCCTGCGCCATCACAGTCTTATCGACAGATGAGTGTTCGGCGTGAGGGAGCTCAGTTTTGTAGGTCATGTGGTAAATAAAAACGGTTTGTTGCCACTTCAACAGAACGTAAAGGCAATCCAAGAAGCCCCCACACCAACAGACCTGCAAACGCTTCGATCCTTTCTAGGCATGACTGGTTGCTATGCCAAATTCATCAAGAGCTACGCCGAAGAAGTGGAGTCACTAAGGAGCTTGTTAAGGGATCAAAGACCCTTTACATGGCCACAAGATGCTCAACCAAGCTTTGACAGACTTAGCACTAGTGTCAAACTGCTCCGCACTCTCCGCTTTCAACCCAGCATTACCGTCAACTGTGACGACTGACACCTCAGGATATGGATTGGGAGCTGTTTTGCAGCAGTGGGACAGAAAGAAACTGAGCACTTTCGCACTCGCGTCCAGGACACTGTCTACGCAAGAGCGTGAATACTCAGCCGAAGAAAGAGAGGCTCTTGCATGCGTGTGGGCCATTGAACACTGGCACATATACTTATGGGGTCGCCAGTTTACTCTGCAAACTGATCACCAAACTCTGGCAACGTTGCTCGACACCCAAGGAACGGACCATCAGCCGCTGAGAATTGTCAGGTGGGCGGCACGTTTGTATATCTGCAGTTTTAACGTCACCTACAAAAATGGGAAAGACAACGTCCTTGCAGACGCCCTTTCTCAATTGCCACTCCCGGATTTACATCCGAAACACGAAGAGGAAGATGTTGTATGTCATGTGACCAACTGCACCACTAAACCTGAACTTCAACAGGAGACGTCCAAGAATCTCTGCACCCAGGAAATATTGACTGCAGTGCGGAGTTTCTGGCCATCAAAAAGCTCTCTGGACGACCAACTACGGCCATACTTCAAGGTCCGTTCAGAGTTGTCCGAGATGAAAGGCTTAATACAGAGAGGGGGTAGCGTCGTTCCGCCTCCCGCACGTAGAGCGAAGGTCATCGACTTGGCTTATGATGCTCATCCAGGAATGGTGCGCACAAAGCAACGCCTACCCCTACTCTACTGGTGGCCAGGAATGGACGCAGCAGTGGAACGTACCATCCGATAATGTGCGGTGTGCCAGACTGCTGACAAGTCGTCAAAGACGTCTGCCACACCACTTCAACCAGTTCCCCCACCTTCAGGGCCATGGGATAGATTGGGGATAGATGTGTTCGAACCATTCGAGCGTGCTCCACAAAGCTGCAGGCTCATGGTAACAGTCGTGGACTACTACAGCTTGAAGCTGAGCTAGTTGGTTCATGGTTGTTAAAGTGCCAGCTGAACTCACACAGAGACGAACAAAAAACACCAGCGGTGTGTCTGTCTTTTTTGTTCGTCTCTGTGTTTGTGTGTCCTTAAAACGTTCAGCTGGCACTTCAACAACTCTACAGCTGCTGGCCAGAGGTGGCATTTGCAAGGAACGTGACGACCAGCACCCTGATAATATTTCTGCGTTCAATATTCAGCAGAGAAGGGTATTCATTAGAGGTGGTTACTGACCACGACAGTCAGCTTACTTCAACGCCTTTTAAGGACGTTCTTCGAGAGAGAGGAATCCGTCAGCTCCATTCGTCTGAATACCACCCTCAAGCGAATGGGATGGTTGAAAGATTCAACCGTGTACTTAAAAGTTTTGTTCAAGTTGCAAGCTTGGAAGAAAGTCCTTTGCAAGAGGCAGTCACAGAATATCTCGGAGTTTGTAAAGCAACACCTCATTCATCCACCGGTTCTACACCAGCCTACGTCTTGCATCTTTTTTCACGAACAACCAGCGGTCGACACCGATTTCACCACTACGCAACTACTCGCCTTGCCGCGGCAGATCCTCCGATTACACGCGCGCTTCACGCCGACGCCGCCCTCCACGATGGCTAGACGCATAACCGAGGATCACGACAACAGGGAGTTTTCATAGATCGTTTCCGCTGTCCCGCAACGCTCTCCACAACCAGCTACGCTAGCCGGAACTCTACAGTGGAGGCCATGGGCGCGCCGGCGCAGTAACTGCTGCTTCGTTGCGGAGGGCTTAGCGGAGGGGGAAACGTCGGTCTACGAAAACTCCCTAACATTAACAACATTTGCGAGGACGCAAAGATTTTGAGCTGGGGAGCGTACGCGAATATGCTGGCGGTGAAACCCGCAAGGAAAGCCTCCCTGCTTCGACCGGATGATCGGAGCCCGACCAGCTAGACTTCGACCCCCGACGCCGGCACCCCTGCGTGGGAGGGTATGAGAAAGGAGGACCCCTAGAAACACGAGCGACAGGAATAGAAGGAAAACGAACGCGAATATAGCCCTCTTGTATCAAATTATTTCTCAGAGTTGTCATTAAATCGTTTTACTCTACAAAACCGTTCATTCCGTTCTAACACTTCTACATTGAAGAAAGGATAAAAACACAGGCGAGCTGGTGAAGAGCTTCCATAGTAACCAAAAACGCGACACGGTAGTAAAAAAAAAAAGAAAAAGAAAAAAAAAGAAAAGCAAAACGGACAAAAGCAACAAGTTTCAAACACAGCTTCTAGTTTATTTGAACAACGAACGCCACCAAAAGAGAAACGGAAACACCTAGCCAAAGGCTGAGGGACGGTTCGCAACTTCAAGAAAAGCATTCCTACGCACCACAAAGTAGTTCCCAAAAGTAATTTCTTTTAAAATAACTGTTTTGTGTGTAAAAACTGCGCAATGTTCCAGATGTGTACTGCTGAGAATGATTTGCAACTAAAGGAATCAAATATCTGAAGTTTATGTCTTATTAATATATGTAAATGCATGTGGTTTGGCGAAAACATGTACATCTGCTGGCAACACGGCTGCAGAGCTCGGTTTTTCTGCGTGATTTCGTTCCCGTAATCGCCGAATCATGTGCTTCGCTGCCTTCCTCACCGAGTCGCTTCAAAACGTCCTTTCGCAAAGGCACGTTTGGGCGTCAGGCGCGAGAAGTCGTGATGAATGTCCATTTTCAAATTCGGCTGGAGACTCCGGCCGCGTCGTACCGCAAATGCTTTGTAAACAAGCAAAGAGTCCGGGCCACAATTCAGATACACGGCGAAATCAGGGCACCCCTTTACCTGCCGATCACATTGAACGCCGAGAAGCTGGTGGAAAGGACTGTGCCTTGAGTCCTGGTATATCCAAACAATACAAGGAAACATCAACGGCCGGGTGATCGGGGACCTTGCAACGTGTACTTACAACTCGAAACTATGCCGAACAGGATGAAAGCTCGGACACAGATGCCAGCGGCCAGCCTACGTACTGACATCCCCTGTGACTAAGTTTCAGGACGTGAAAGGGCACTTTTTCAACCTGTAGCAGACGATATCGTTGATACACCCGAAGCAGACGAAATACTCGGCGAACGCGGGCGGCGCGGCCGACCGGCGGCGCAGCGGAGTGATACGAAAGTGCAGGCAAGATCGCGTGACCTATTGCCGGCGTGTGATTGGCTCCGGCCACACGTAGCTTTGGCTGCGCTCGGACGGAAGCTGAAACGAAGTATAGGTCACCGAAGCCGGACATTCGGACAGATCCAAATGATTTATGGTGCTCCCTCCTTTCACACCAACCAGCCACCCTGACGACCTCGCAGAACTGATGTGCCACTTGCGATAACAGGCAACTCCACCACAATTCCCTTAATACTCTTGGAAAACCCGCAAAACAAAAA